GAAGAGACAAAGCAAACATTAAATTATGTTCAGATAAAGCACAAACTTTAGAATTATCAGGCAGGAAATTTAAAATAACTATGATTCATATAGTAAGGACTCGGGTGGAAAAAGTAGACAATGTGCAAGTATAATATAAGCAGAGAGATGGAAACTTTAAGAAGCAATAAAAAGAAAATGCAAGAGATAGTACCAATGATAATCACAACAGAGTAACAAATTGAAGAAAGTCTTTGATGGGCTCATCAATAAATTGGACATGGCCAAGGGTAGAATTAGTGGCTTCTAGATATTTCTAGGTATCTTCTAGATATTTCAATAGAAATTTCCCAAAGTAAAATATAAAGAGGGAAAAATAAAATATCCAAAAATGGTAAGAAATTTTCAGATAATTTTTATGCACAATTGGAATACCAGAAGGAGGAGAGAGAATTAAGGAGAAGAAACATTTGAATAATGGCTGAGAACTTTCCAAAATTAACGGCAAACATGAAATTACAGACTCTGAAATCTGAGATAACATCAAGCAGAATAAATACCAAAAAAAATCTATATTATGTTCAAATTTCAGAAAAACAGACAGAGAAAATCTTGAAATATGAGGGAGAAAATAAATCTTATCTATGGAGGAAAAAAGAATAAGAGTTACAATGAACTTCTCATCAAACCAATTCAAGCATGGAGAGAGTGGAGTAAAATATTTAAAGTGTTTTAAAAAAAAAATCCACCAACCTAAAATTCTCATGTAAAAGTGAAGGATAAGACTTTCTCAGACAAACAAAATCAAATAATTCATTACCAGCAGACCTACAGACTTGCTATGCCAAATGTGTGTGTGTGTGTGTGTGTGTGTGTGTGTGTGTGTGTGTGTATAAAAGAAGCTGTTTTGATAGAGCAAAAATAATACAGATAGAAAACTTGAATCTACATAAAAAAGTAAAAGCATCAGAAAAGAATAAAGGTAAAACAAGATATTTTATTTTTTATACACCTGATCTAATTGTTGAAAGTAGTAACAGTGACAAAGCATTGTGTAATTATAGCATATGTATAAATAAAATACACGGCAAAAATATTATAAAAGATAGGAGGGAGAAACTTGGAATACTCTGTTATAAAGTACCCACAATGCTCATGAAATTGTATAGTGTTATTTTAATGTAGATTACAATTAGTTGTAAATGTATCATGCAAACTCTAGGAAAGTCATCCAAATGTTTTTAAAAAGAAGTCTAATGGGTATGCTAAGAGAGGAGAGAAAATTGAATCATATAAAATAATTAAAACTAGAGAAGCTAGGGAAAGTATGAAAAAGAAGCAAATTACAAGGGTAAATAACAAAACAGTTATAAACATAGCAGATATTAATCCAACTGTATCACTGATCATCCTCTAATGAATGGTCTAAATATACCAATAAAAAGTAATTGCCAGACAATATTTTTTCTTTTTTTTTTGAGACGGAGTCTTGCTCTGTCGCCCAGGCTGGGGTGCAGTGGTGCAATCTCAACTCACTGCAAGCTCCAACTTCTGGGTTCAAGTGATTCTCCTGCTTCAGCCTCCTGAGTAGCTGGGACTACAGGCTTGTGCCACCACACCTGGCTGATTTTTGTATTAGTAGAGACAGGGTTTCACCATGTTGGCCGGGCTGGTCTTGAACTCCTGACCTCAGGTTGTCCACCCTCCTTGGCTTCCCAGAGTGCTAGGATTATAGGTGTGAGCAACTACACCCAGCCCAGACTACATTTTTTCTAAAAAATCTATATGCTGTCTACAAGACATTCACTACATGCAGTCAGCCCTCTGTATCCTTGAGTTCTACATCTCTGGATTCAACTAGCAACAGACCAAAAATATTTGGGAACAAAATGGTTAGTTGTGTCTGTACTGAATAGGCACTGACTTTTTTTTTTTGTCATTATTCCCTAACAAGACAGTATCACAACATTACATAGCATTTACATTGTATTAGGTATTATAAGTAATCTAGAAATGATTTACAGATTCTCTCAGAACTATCCACGGAAAATTATGGCAAAGCCACTGAAGTCACAAATGAATCCATGGAACAAGACTGACTATTTAGAAACACTGTGATGCAGTATTTTACATACAGCTCTGGTTTTAACACTGTATAAAACTTTTATATAATTAAATGTACCTTTAGTTTTACAGGAGAAGCAGGTTATAAAATAAAGTACTTTATAGATGATTTCTGAAGAGTTGTAAATGTAAGAACTGTGAGTATCAGCTCCTCTGGGTTCTGGTTACTGCTGACATTTTGTTGGTCTGAGCAAATCAGTAATTTGTGTATAGATTTTTCAAAATTTAGAGCTAGTGTTTATATTGGAAGGTAATAATTATAATTTTGAAAGATTTTTGAGATTATCACATCCAGTTTATACACATACAATAAAAATTTTAGCTCTAGGAATTTCATATTTTGGTCATAGTTTCAACATTTTAACATGTGAATTATAGGGTTCCATGCTGGCTTCCAGATTTTATTATTTGACTACAAACAATGAAATTTGAGAGAGAGATACATATATTATGTTTATAATATATAATATATTACATATATTACATATAATATATTACATATATTATATATAATATATTACATATATTATATATAATATATTACATATATTATATATAATATATTACATATATTACATATGTAATATATGATACATATAATTATATATGTAATATATAATATGTGATACATATAATCATATATGTAATATATGACACATATATTATATATGTAATATGTGATATATATTATGCATATTATATGTAATATATGATACATTATGCATATATGTAATATATGATATATATTATATAGTACATAATGTGTATTATATAACACATTACATATATTATATCTGCATTATAATATATACATATTCATTTATTAAAATTAAATATATAGTAAATATAATATTAATATTAATATGGATACTAAATATATAAAAATATTACAATATGTATATAATATATATTTATATATCAATTATATTTATTTTATATACTATTTATGGTAATTGTATTATTTCAGTACTATATATTATATATATATATCATATTTATAATAATCTTATGTATTTGTAATACATATTATATTTATATATTATATTTATATATAATACATGATATTATTATTTTAATTTATGTTATTTATATATTTTATATCATTAAATTATATAATATATAATGATAATATATTAATTATATATAATATATAAGTATATTATATAATGTATTATATAAATATATAAAATATTATAATATTACATTATTTTTAATATTACATATATTATTACTTATATGATAACTATTATATATTATATATTAAGATATTATTAATTGCTTATTAAATATAATTATTATATTATATATCATAATTATTAATTTATATATTATATATTACACATAACATATAATTATATATTATATATTACACATAACATATAATTATATATTATATATATAATTTGAAGGAAGGAGGGAAATGTTATCTATCTCTGTTTCTATAAGAGATAAATACAGTGGATATTTTTCTATTGGTAATGATTGAGTTCACCTTTTTCATAAGATATTTTCTTTCTCTTCTGAGTAACTCAAATAAAATCTGGCCCTTGTGAAACCTGGGAAATCTCATCTGTTGAAATACAAGGTTAAACACATTCCAAGAGATCTGTTCAAACTAAAATTATTTTTTATACTTTGAGGTGCTTGAGAAAAAGACTACATTATTTATGAGAAAATGTGCTTCATCTTGAAAATTGTGTTCAAACATTAGCTTACTGTTTTGTAAAATAAATGCTTATGAAGCTAACACTGTTGCAGGATTCAGGAGGATGAGAGACCTCAGGTCGAAACAGGAGAATCTTTATTGAGTGCACTCAGGCCCAGCTGACTCACATCCAAAAGACAGGGCCCAGAACAACGACAGCACCTGACTTTACACACATTTCACAAAACAGGATGGGCTAGCTTGAAGCAAGCTTACAGTGGCATGAAAGGAGGGATCTAGACGCAGGGCAAAGACAGGATTGCATATAACCGTTGCCAAGCAACCCAGGTGTTTGTTATCTAGGTTTGTCTGTGCACAGGTTTATCCAGGCCTACTCAGGTTTTTCATGACCTTTGTTGTACTTCTTAAATAAAACAGAATACTTGAAGTCACTAGTTAAGAGAACAAGAATCTATAAACTCATTCCATAAAACAAAGGAAAATTTGTTTTTCTTCTCCCTATGTTGAGGGAGTTCTGGGAGAGTCTCCAGAGCACATTAGATAATATGATCAAGAAATTTCCTGGGTCTGGGCTGTGCCTGTTGCTGCCTCTGGGACAAATTAGCCTAAAATAGGAAAACTTTTTTCTCTTTCTTTTCAATTTTATTATTTTTTTAATTTCCCGCTTCATTCTCCCCTTTGAGACCTTTTATAAAGGAAGTTTACTAGAAGACCTCAATATTACTTAATTTTGCATGAAGAGATAAGATTTCTTTTTTGAGCAAAGATTGATATATACACAAAGCCATTAGCTGAGTGTTAGTTTGTCTAGCTATGTTTTTAGTCAACTGTGTTAACAGATACTATAGTACTCAGTGGAACTGTGGATTATGGGAAAGAGTGAGCCTATGGATGTTATCTGGCAAACATTAAAATATAAAGATCTGACTCCTTCGTGGGAGAGAGACTTTAGTCTGGTTTAAGAGACTTCCTTTCCTTGACCCAGTGCAAATCTTCTTTTTTTTTTTTTTTTTTGAGACGGAGTCTCACTCTGTCACCCAGGCTGGAGTGCAGTGGCCAGATCTCGGGTCACTGCAAGCTCCTTCTCCCAGGTTTACGCCATTCTCCTGCCTCAGCCTCCTGAGTAGCCGCCACCTCGCTTGGCTAATTTTTTTGTATTTTTTAGTAGAGATGGGGTTTCACCGTGTTAGCCAGGATGGTCTCGATCTCCTGACCTCGTGATCTGCCCATCTTGGCCTCCCAAAGTGCTGGGATTACAGTCTTGAGCGACCGCGCCCGGCCGCAAATCTTAAACCAGGTCCTAGATAAAAGCTTAGGGTTATAGTATACATAAGACTGGCTATTCATTGGGTCACAGACTGAATAGGTTGTTTGGTTGTACATACAAGTCTCCAGAGGGGTTTCTGTGTATTCATAGTATGTACGGTACCATAAAGTCTTAACTACTGCGTTTCTTATTTACGTAGCGTGCACGCACTGATGGCAACTATCTATGTGCTTTTCTTTTCGTGTAGACTTAGGTACAAATAAAGCCAAGGCAAAAAGTAACATTGTTATACTAAATATGGACAGAAAGAGTTCTCCCTTGGGCAGAGAGATTGGCAATAATGGTAGCATAGTAATAAAATAACTAGTCATACTAAGATAGTAATTAAACATAAAATTTGTATGCATATCTACTCATTTGATGAAGACGCCTCAAGCTTCGGCCATGCGTAGACTAGTCAACTTCTGGTTGCATGACTAGAGCAGGGCTTACAGTTTTCCTCCAGCTTCCGCCGTGTGTAGACTGGCCAGCTTCTAGAGTGGCCAGAGCAGGGCTGCTGTTATTTCTACTGGTTACATGGTCTTGTCCCAGGATCAGCCGTGTTGGATGGTCTGGGTCTCATTGACTGATCCACTGATCCTGGGCCGCTGGTTTTAGCTGACTGTGGTGAATCCAAGGCATGATACCTGAAACTTTAACAGCAGTGGGAGTAGACAAGATTATTATAGAATGGGGCCTATCCTATATGAGTCCTAGAGTGGTTGGATTTTCTTTTTTAACTTAACTAAAGTTCCTAGGTTTGAAAGGGTGTATTGCGGGGGGTGTCTGTCAGACTTATAGGCATTTTTTCTATATCTAGCCATGCACTTTTTGCATGGCCATACTTAAAGACTGCATTTGCCTTTTTAAAGTTAGTTTTCCTAGTTTACAGAGATCACTTTTAATCTGACTTATGATGAGGGGTGGCTGGCCGAACAAAATCTCATAGGGCGAATACCTACTTTGTTTGGTGGGGGTGCACCTGACTCGGAGGAGGACCATGGGCAAGACCTGATCTTACCTTAGATGAGTTTCTTGGCAAAATTTCTTCAGCAGCTGTTTGAGTGTCCGGTTCATGTACTCCACTTTACCTGAGATCCGTGGCCTGTAGGGTGTATATAATTTCCACTTTATTTTTAATAGTCAAGTTAAGTTCTGAACTATTTCAGCCACAAATGTTGGTCCATTGTCTGATTCTAGAGTTAGAGGCAGTCCACATCTGGGAATAACGGTTAACAACACATTGGTCACCTCTAGTGCCTTCTCTGTCTGGGTGGGGAAGGCCTTGACCTGTCCTGAAAAGGTGCAAATGAACACCAACATGTATTGATAACGCCCCTCTTCAGGGCAATTCGGTGAAGTCCGTAAGCAGTTTTTCACAGGGCATGGCTCCTGTTTCCTGAACTCCCAGGGACTGAGTAGGCCCTTGTCGTGGATTGTTCTGAACACAAGTTAAACACTGTTTGTTTATAAATGGCTTGAGTAATAGCAATGAGCCATGGCACATAGAAAATAATGTCCTAATAATGTCTTTAGTGCTTTTTTTTTTTTTATGTGAGTTCCTTGGTGGAACTGTTTTACTAATCTGGGGGCCACCATTTCCAATATGGGTAGCCTCACATTGGAGATTTTTTACCATTCTCCTTCAATGTAGTTTCTATTTTCGTGAGCAAACCAAGTCCTTTCATTTGTAGTGTAGCTTGGGATCTCTGGGAGGGGAATTTCTAGGAAGAGAGGCATAGCCAAGGCTTCCTCTTTACAAGGTGGAGTTGTCACGGCAGCCTGCTTTGCCTCTTTGTCTGCCTTTCTGTTTTATTTAGCCTTCGGTGTTCTTTCTTTTTGGTGCTCTTTGCAGTGCATTACTGCCACCTTTTTGGGGGGGCCTATACAGCATTTAAGAGCTGTAGAATTTCTTCCTTGTACTTTATTTCTTTACTTCCAGCAGTTAAAAGTCTTTTTTTTTTTCTTTTTAAATAGCCTCATGAACATGCAGAGTGGCAGAAGCATATTTGGAATCTGTTTAAATATTTGCCTTCTTGTCTTTTGCTAGCCAGAGAGCTCTTGTGAGAGCTATTAGCTCTGCTTTCTAAGCAGAAGTTCCTGCAGGCAAGGACTGCACCTCTACTACCGAGTTCAGAGTTACCACTGCATATCTAGCTCGGCGGACTTCCTTTAGTATGAAACTGCTTCCATTAGTAAAATATTCAATGTCCGGGTTCCTGAGGGGCTGATCTGTCAAATCTTTCCAGCTTGAGAGCACCTCATCTACCACATCCACACAGCAATAAAGGGGGCCTCCTGGCACTGACTTGATGAGGAAGGAGCAAGGTAGCTGGGTTTAGGGTATTCACAGTCTCTAAAGTCAGTTTATTAGCTTCCTGCCCCAGTAGGGCAGCGGCAGCTAGTGCTTTAAAACAAGAAGGTCATCCAAGTGTCACAGAATCTAATTGCCTGGATAAGTATGTCACTGGGTGATGCCGTGACTTTATGGCTCGAGTTAGAACCTTTAAAGCCTCCCTTTTACTTGTGGACATACAAGAAGAAAAGTTTAGTTAGTTAGATCTGGTAGTCCTAAAACTGGGGCCTGAGTCAAGGCTTTTCTTTATTTCCCTAAAAGCCTTTTCCTGGTCGGCCTTCCAGAGGAGGGGCTCCTTCTTTCCTCCCCTTTGTGGCTTCGTATAATGGCTTAGCGGTGAGCAAGAAATTTGGGACGGAAATGCGGCAGAACCTTGCTGCCCTTAGGAACTTTTTAATCTGACGCCTGGTGGTTGGAGTAGGAAGTGCACAAACAGCCTGCTTTTGTTCTCTACTAAGCCATCTTTCCTCTTGGCTTATATAAAAGCTTAAATACTGGACAGTTTTAGAGCAGATTTGAGCCTTTTTTCCTGACATTTTATATCCTGCCTTTTATAGCAGGTGCAGGAGGTCTTGGGTTCCTCCTGGGTGCAGTAGCCCTTGGCTGGTGATTTTCTTATACCACAGCCTCGACCATTTTCCTTATTCTTTTGACATTCATCTTTTCAGTGTCCTTTCCTTTTGCACCGTGCACATTAATCTCTCTTTAGCCTCTGCAGGCTTTCAAATTCTTGTCCAGAATAGCCTCTTCCACGACTGCGTTCATGCCCATGTCCAAGCCTCCTTGCAAAGTCAGCTTCTCTTCCCATAAGGGCTGCTGCTAGCAAATTAGCCTTTCTTAAGCCTCTGATCAGCCTCCTTTTTTGCCTGCTGATCTCGGTTAATGTACACCTTGGTAGCCACTTTAATAAGCTGTGTAGTATTCACGCCTGCGTAGTCTCTGCGATTTTTGCCTGATATCTCCTTGGGCGTGCCTTACAAACGCTGTATTCACCATGCACTGATTTGCAGCAGCCTCAGGGTTAAATGGAGTGTACAACCAAATTGCGTCACAAAGTCTTTTATAAAACTGGCTGGTGCTTTTATCTGTACCCTGCAGCACCTCTGAGATTTTTTTCTATATTGAATGCCTTTTTCTTCTACCATCTTTTAGGCTTTGCAGAAGTGCTTCTCAGCATCTTTGCAGGCACTGAAGCTGGACCGCATCATCTGTGTCCTAGTGGGGGTCCACTCGTCCTCTTAAGAGGTGTAAGCATAACTTGGGCACGGACAGACCTGAGACAGCCTGCTCGACTTTTCTAGCATTTCACTTTAACTTCCTGGAGTTCTGATTTCTCCTTCTCTGGTGAGACTGGGAGCGTGTATCCATTTGAACTTAACTACTTAGGGGCAGTTAGACTTGGTAAAGGAGGGTAGATTGTCCCGCGATTCTTGCAAAACCAGTTTTTGTTTTTTTTTTTTTGCCTTTCCTGAGACGTTTCTTTTGTCTCCATAGCTGCCAGGGCAGCTGATTTTTACTTTCACTTTTGGCCTGGCAGTGCTACAAGCCCTTGTGACTTTCCTTTTAACTCTGTAGCTGCCGGCGCAGTTGATTTCTCTTGGCGTGAGCTGCGAGCATTCTGCAATAAACTGCTAGGCAGGGCTGCATCTATTTCGCCATTAGTCAATACGAAGCCTTTGTCTGAATGTCCTGGCTGTCCTGCGACCCTAGTCACCACCTTAAAACACACGACCAATTTCTTTATCTACAGTGCCTTCAGTCAGCCAACCACACCAAAAGAGGGCTATTTCAATTCACAGAGAGTTTTCAGCATCTGAGGGGTTAACCTGACTCCTTAATCTCCTGGAAAGCCTTTTTGTAAAGTTCTTTAGCATGCATTCCAAGGCGGTGGGTTTAGAGGATTTTCCTTCTATTTCCTCCCAGTAACCATACAGCACATTCACCCTTCCTTTTCTCCCTTCAAGGCTTAGCACACTCCCTCCTCCTTTCCTTTTAGGCTGATTGGACCCAGTTGGTCCTATATGTTGCTCGGAGTATACAGCCTCTACTAAGAGACCTGCAGCTCCCTGCATGTCACTCCTCACATTGGTTTATCCTGGAACCATCTCTTTCACACACTTTCACAAACTTCCCCTGCCCCAGGACTCCTCATCAGATGAAACTGTAGCAGGAGGAGCCGCAGACAAAACCCCTCAGACACCAAGTTAAAGAAGGAAGAGGTTTATTTGACTAGGGGCATCAGCAAGACTCCTGTCTCAAGAGCCGAGCTCCCGGAGTAAGCAATTCCTGTCCCTTTTAAAGGCTCACAACTCTAAGGGGTTGCGTGTGAGAGGGTCGTGATTGATTGAGCAAGCAGGGGGTATGTGACTGGAGGCTGCATGCACTGGTAATTAGATTGGGACAAAACAAGATAGGGATTTTCACAGTGCATTTCTATACAGTGTCTGTAATCTATAGATAAGAGAACCAATTAGGTCAGGGGTCAATCTTTAACTACCAGGCCCAGGGTGCAGCACCAGGCTGTCTGCCTGTGGATTTCATTTCTGCCTTTTAGTCTTTACTTCTTCTTTCTTTGGAGGCAGAAATTGGGCATAAGACGATATGAGGGGTGGTCTCCTCCCTTATTCCCCCCTTTTGAGACTCTCACTCATTTTATTAGTGGGAGGTCTCACTTTCATTTTCACTACCCATGTCTTCTTGAAAGACAGATTGATAGTAATTCATATAGTACACTTGTGCTGAAGCATTTTGGTGAACTAAGGTAGCGATGAAGCTTTTTATCATTCGAAGAAGTACAGGTAGCAAACAAGGGAGCAGTAAGTAGGTTCTTATTACTCTTATAACTCTTGTTGTAAGGGTTTTAATCCTCCTAGTGCTGGGAACCATTTTCTAAACATGGCCCCAGGATCAAATCTATGCCACACTTGCACAGTCACATGTGCCAGTTTTGTCATATCTCTAACTATGTCTTCAACTACTTGCCCTTGATTATCTATGTGTAGGCAGCAATTAGTAAGGTTAAATTTCTTACAGACCTCTCCTTCAGCTGCTAGCAAGTAGTCGAGAGTCAATCTATTTTGATAGATAGCATTTCTCATCTGAGTTTCTTGCCAGGCCAGAATAGTCAAGGCTCTGCCGGTTTTATAGTGATTATTTTTAAGACACCTTGCAACCATATGATTCGGTTGATCATGTAAATGGGGGTCCAGTATTGCCATGAGCCATCTTGCACCTAAGAAGCAGGCCTATAATATTGTATGATTCTCTCAGAGGGCCATTTATCATTTTTTCAATTTCTTATAGCTATGCTTCTCTTTTCACGGGAAGCATAGACAAGGAAGCCCAGGAGTTCACCTGTTTTTATGGGCAGTAGGAAGAAAGATGGTTTAATGGTGCCAATAACACAACTACCTGCCCACTGATCAGGTACTTTGGTGTAAGTTCTATGACCACATATCCAGTATAATCCAGTGGGGACTGTCTAGTCCTAGTGGGACTCCAGGTGGGTCCACATGGCTTGCAACTTTGGGAATTTACTAAACGGATTTCTCTCTGTGTGATTTGAACTCCACCACGTGACTGTTTTTGTGGTACCATTATACAGTTTTTGTCTCAGACAACTAAGTCATCCTATGGGGTGAGTGAATTCTTTTCCTTCTCTAGCTATGCAATGTTGTCCAATAATTGAGGCTTTTAGGACCTAGAAATTATCAGGGTGATTCTTTTGAGCTGGGAATTCATCAGGAACTGGGTCTGTAGGTACTAATTCTCGGGCTTCCTATGGCCATTGATCTCTTATTACAGTTCCTCCACATACATAATATGAAGTGACATTGAGAGACTGTGCTACATGCTCGGCTAATTGCAAAAACAAATTTCTTGTTTTTCCTGGAATTTCTGGTACTGGCACTTTTAGTTTATCATGGAAGATTTGAAATACTGGCTTAGGAGAGCATTTATAAACTTTTTCTCAAACCATGATATTTACTTGAAGATTCAGTCTAGCTCCCTCAATTTTTAGGGTTACACGTTCCCTTTTTTTTCCAGCGAGGATCAAGGGGATTGGTTATTACTGGCTCTAAGGGGTTACATTGTCCCTTAGTACAGGAAGGGCCATTTTTTCCTTTCTGAAGGTGGACTGGATCCTTTCCATTTTTTATTTTTTTAATGTGCAGATGGAATATTTGATCCATTTTAACCAGGCATTTGCATCTTGGTATCCTGTCTTGATTGCTAAAGTTTGTTACTTCTATGATCCCCTAGTAAAATGAATGTATGGTTTGAGGGAAATTACAAAAACCGGTTGGGGCTGTCCATCCTTGTTTTTCAGTGGTCTACAGAACATTGGACCAACTACAGCATGAAAGCTCTACATCAGGAGGCAAGACTCCTGGTTGGAACTGGGGTCTTTATCAAAATCTCCCTGGATTAAATGGTCCTAGTTTACTAATGCCTCGTCTGAGGAGAGTCAGGAGGGACAGAAGTACTTTTCTGAAGTAGAAAGCTGTCTTTAACTTGGCAAGTCCCCACAGTGTATAACAAGGCAGGCATTAAATGCAATAGTTTCAGGTGAAATTGACTTGGTTATATTAATAACTAGATGGTCAGCAATAGAATGAGGAAAGAAGAAAGAGTAATACAATAGATTAAAAGAGTTACATTTTTCTTAGCTTTAGTTTGGTAGGATTTTCCCCTGGGACTATGGCCTACCACTCTGGAGGGAGTGGCACTTTCTTAACTCGGGTGTGATGAGTCCATCCTTTTTGTTTTTGCTGTACGAACAGCAGTCTCAGTGGTTAGCAGCACAAGGTAGGGTCCTTCCCAGGCTGGCTCGAGTTTTCTTTCTTTCCACCCTTTGATGAGAACATGATCTTCAGGCTGGTGCTGGTTTACCAGAAATTCTAGGGGTGGTACATGTGCTGAAAGACTTTTAGCTGGTGTTTTGTTTTGTTTTGTTTTGTTTTGTTTTTTTCAAGAAAGGAAAGTGGAAGATAAACCAAGTATATAATTTTTAGGAAATTGACCTTTTGTTTTAAATGGGGGGACCTTGGCAGTGGACTTTGTAGTCCTTAGTGCCTTTTTACTGAGAAATTTCCTTTAGCGCCTATTTTTATTAGTTTTTTAACCAAAGAAAGCCAAATACCATTTTACATTTAACAGTGCTTCTCATATGATTTTTATACCAGATAAGCTAAATTTTATCTTTATATTAGTGTGTTATTAATGTTAAACCTAATTTTAATAAAACGTTATAGAAATATGTATCTAATTTTTAATGTTTGACCATAAGGTAAGATTTTATAGACTCTTTTTAACCTTTTATAATTTTTGCTAAAGAGCAGGTTAGTGCTTTAAGAAAAACCTGTTTTGCTTTTACTTTAATGTCCAGTTCACAGAAAAACTGGATGATATTTCTTTAATTTTAGCTAATATGTTTACACACAGAATTTTCTTTACAATTAACGTTTTAAAACTTGCTTAAACCTTCAAAACAATATATTTTTTTAACTTTTTAATGTAGGTAAAAATGTACATTCCTATGCCTCCTTATAATTCTTTTACCAAAGGTATATTTTACTTTTCATATACACCTTGCACGTAAACTTTTTTTTTAATTGTTTTACATTCAGGAGACCTAGTTACTTTTAAATTATACAACATTTTTTGCACAATTCTTTTTTTTAACACACATTTTTTTATAACCTTTTTTTTCTTTCACAACTTTTACAGGCAATTTTTTGACATGCCTTAACTTTCTGACTTATTACAAACATTTCTTTCTTTAAACAACCAGTTAATTTATTTCAGGACAAGAATTTACCATATAACGCTCTTTTTATAACAGTTCGGCCCCTCCCTTTTTTTTCTTAACTACTTGTATATCTCTCTCTTTCTTTCTCTGTTTGACATTCCGTCCCCCCACTTTTTTTTCTTAACTACTTGTGTATCTCTCTCTTTCTTTCTCTCTTTGACTTTCCTTTTGCCTCTGTCTCTTCCTCTCTCTCTCTGCCTCTCTCTTTCTCTCTCTCTCTCTCCTTGATTCCCTCTTTGTATCTTCCTCTCCATCTCTTCCTCTCTCTCTTTGCCTCTTTTCCTCTCTGTCTCCTTTCTCTCTCTCTGCTGGTCTTTCCTTGCCTCTGCCAGTCGCTTATGTTGCTGTTCTCTCAACCACTGTGTGTTGGGGGCAGGGGGTCTAAAACCAGCTGTAACCAGGTGTCTATGTACAAGAACTGGTCTGGGTTCCCTGGCTTACATGTTACCTTGTGTCATACCTTTGAAACAAGAGACCTGTCCAGGCTTCCTTCTAATGGCCAACCTACTTCTAAAGCTGGCCAGTCTATCTTACACAAAGTTTTAAGTTTTCCTGGTGTCATGGTATTCCATAGACTCCCTTAAATTCTTTTTTGAAATTTTTCAACGCAGTGCCTAGTAGGGTGGACTTATTTGTGCCTGACCTACGCTTCTTCAAGACAAAACACCACGCTCACACCACATGCACACCACAAAACAAAGAATGGGTAAAAAGGGCACACACACGCTTTTGCAGTTTGCACCAAACCACAATCAAAACCAGAATCAGAGTATCCAGAAATCCAAGCCAGGTCAAATCCAAAACCAAAGTATCAAGCAACCAAGTCGAAAACAAAAACAAAAGTGCCATTACAGGCACACCGTGGGTGATCAGGCCACGCTTCCACTCAAATGGAGTAGGCAAGTTCCCAAGACCAATCCTGTCAAGCAATTCAAACCAAGTCAAAACCAAAACCAAAGTGCCAATAAAGGCATGCTGTGGGTGATCAGCTCATGCTTCCACTTAAATGGAGTGGGCAGGTTCCCAAGACTGGTCCTGTCAAGCAATTCAAACCAAGTCAAAACCAAAACCAAAGTGCCGAAAAAGGCACGTTTCCACTCAAACGGAGTGGGCAAGTTCCCAAGACTGGTCCTGTCAAACAATTCAAACCAAGTCAAAACCAAAACCAAAACCAAAGTGCCAAAAAAGGCATGCTGTGGGTGATCAGGCCACACTTCCTCTCAAATGGAGTGGGCAAGTTTAAAACACTAGTTCTACCAAGTTTTAGATGTCCAGACTCCAAGTGCCTGTTCCTTCCCGGTGTTCAGCCACTGCATTGATCCTCCATGGGGGCCTGCCACAGGCTGCTGTGGCAAGGCGTCCCACTGGGGCAAATGCCTACCAGGGAGCACCCTCAGGATCTGCATCGCTTGGGCTGGTCTGAGTCCCCAGCAGGGATGGTCCACAGGGCAGGCTTAAGCTGCCTAAGGAGTCGCCTCAACCATCCGCCATTCACCTCACTTCCCAGTCAGTGAACCAAGAAATATTGACAAAACTCAGACACCAAGTTAAAGAAGGAAGGGGTTTATTCAGCTGGGGGCATCAGCAAGACTCCTGTCTCAAGAGCTGAGCTCCCCGAGTGAGCAATTCCTGTCCCTTTTAAGGGTTCACAACTCTAAGGGGGTGCGTGTGAGAGGGTCGTGATCGATTGAGCAAGCAAGGGGTACATGACTGGGGGCTGCATGCACCGGTAATTAAATCAGAACAAAACAAGATAGGGATTTTCACAGTGCATTTCTATACAGTGTCTGTAATCTATAGATAACATAACGGATTAGGTAGGGGTCGATCTTTAACTACCAGGCCCAGGGTTCAGTGCCGGGCTGTCTGCCTGTGGATTTCATTTCTGCCTGTTAGTTTTTATTTCTTCTTTTTTTGGAGGCAGAAATTTGGCATAAAATGATATGAGGAGTGTTCTCCTCCCTTATTACAAGCCTCTCTCGTGTCCTGGGTAGGTTCACACGCACCCACACACTCCCAGTTGCGGTGGCAAGCCACTCTTGCCACCCTGCCAGCAAGCTCTACCTTGCTGCACTTGCCGCTCTATTGGCCCATTTCCTCCCTTTTTCCAGTTCCTGTCTCCAGATCCAGTGAACCACTCTCACTTTGTTAGTGGGGACAAGAGGCTCATCCAAATCGGTAAACCTCTCCTGCCGCCCCCAGCCACTCTGAGTTGGATTAGTGGTCATTCCCCCGGAAGTGATCAAGCTCCCCTTCGTCTTTAGGGGATGGACTTCCCTGCCTTGGGTCCCAAAACTTACCGCAGTTCAGATGTCTGCGTGCAGCTCTTGAGATTGTCCTGCAACCCTCCAGGTTCTGATGCACTGTCCGGGGAGGGCGCTGGGAGGTGGAGAGCCGCTTCCTACTCTGGGCTCTGGGCTTAAGTTCTCCCAGTGGTGCCTGAAGTTATAGGTCTCCCACTGCTGGGGCCCCAGATCACCTACAGGCAAAGGACACAGCCGATCTGTCCTCTCCATGGGCCTACTGGCTCGCTTGCCAGAAATGTTGCAAGATTCAGGAAGACGAAGAGAGATCTCTGGTTGAAACAGGAGAATCTTTATTGAGTTCACTCAGGCCCAGCTGACTCACGTCCAAAAGAGTGGGCCTAGAAAAAAGACAGCACCTGACTTTTATACACACTTCACGAAACGGGGCGGGCTAGCTTGAAGCAAGCTTACTGTGGCAGGAAAGGAGGGATCCAGAGGCAGGACAAAGACAGGGTGGCATATAACCGTTGCCAGGCAACCCAGATGTTTGTTATTTAGGTTTGTCTGTGCACAGGCTTGTCCTGTAACCTTCGCTATGGTGCCCAGGCAGCTGTAGTTCAGGCCTACTCAGGCTTCTCATGACTTTTGTTGTACTTCTTAGATAAAACAGCATACTTGAAGTAACTGGTTAAGAGAACAAGAATCTATAAACTCATTCCATAAAACAAAAGGAAATTTGTTTTTCTTCTCGCTGTGTTGAGGGAGTGCTGGGAGAGTCTTCAGAGCATATTAGATAATATTATCAAGACTTTTCCTGGGTCTGGGCTGTGCCTGTTGCTGCCTCTGGGACAAGTTAACCTAAAACAGGAAAACTTTTTTCTCTGTCTTTTAAATTTTATTTTTCTTTAATTTCCTGCCTCAAGACAAGATTATTTCAGAATAACCAGCAGTTTCCTTGATCTTTTGCTTGCTTTTCTGAACATTTTGAATATAGCACATTTCTTTCTATTTTATTCCAGAGTATGCAAATGTGAATGACATGAAACATCACTGTACTGGAAGAATTAATATATTACTTTTAGTAATGTACCTGAGCTAAATGACTGAAGCCTTAGGGTGCATAGAAGTGACAACAATTTGTATGACATTTTGAAGTGAATTAAATATTTTCAAACATGCTTATTTGACAGCCAGTGTTATATTTTTTAGATCAACACAAAGGACAATGATTATTCCAAACCCAATATTTTCAAATTCACATATTTAAAGTCAGGGAAGCTACAACTTCTTTGTCAAAATTACAGGCTGCCTTACTTATGCCTATTTCTTCATCTGTATTATTTGATACTCAGAATTTTTAAATTTCTATAATTTCTGATTTTGTAGACTGTAATGTGTTCATTGCATTTGTGAAGTGATATGTAATTGTACAGTTTCTGTGAGTAAATGGAATGCTTGGGCTTTCAATACAGTATTCATGTAAAGCGATAAATATTAATGTTATAAAAATGTTTAAAAGAAAGTATATGATGGAATGTGTGTAGGTCATAAACAAATACTACACCATTTTATATAAGTGACTTGAGCACTCATCTCTACAGTAATGTAGAGTACTGGGGAGGAGGCAACCAATCTCCCTTGGACACCAAGGGATGACTGTATATGAAGACACAGATAAGTTTAAAGTAAAGGAGCCAAAAAAAAAAAAAATACCATGTTAACGCTAATCAAAAGAGAGTTGCAGTAACTATATTAACTTTAGACAAAGCAGATTTCAGAACAAGAAAAATTTTCAGGGATAGAAGAGGGCATCATATAACAATAAAGGGGTTAATTCTCTAAAAAGAAAATAATTTTCAATATGTATGTGCCTAACAATAGATGTTAAAATATGTGAGGCAAAAACTGATAGAACCACAAGGAAAAATAGACAAATCTGTTATAGCCAGAGACTTCAACATCCCTTAATAGATCAAGCTGCCAAGAGATCAGGAAGGATATAATTGACCTGAAAACACTATCAATCAACTTAATAACATTAAGAGCGCTTTATCCAAAAACACCAGAATGTTTGTTTTTCTCAAATTCACATAGGACATTAATCAATCTAGAACCCATTCTGGGAGTTAAAACAACAGTTTAACATTCAAGATATGTTATCAGACCACAATGGGATTAACCTAGAAATAACAAAAAGATAAATGGAAAATCCCCAAATATTTGGATATTAAACAATATATTTCTTTTATTTATTTATTTATTTATTTGTTTGTTTGTTTATTTATTTATTTATTTTTGAGACAGAGTCTTGCTGTGTCTCCCAGACTGGAGTGCAGTGGCGCGATCTCGGCTCACTGCAAGCTCCGCCTCCCGGGTTCACGCCATTCTCCTGCCTCAGCCTCCGAGTAGCTGGGACTACAGGCGCCCGCCACCACGCCCGGCTAATTTTTTGTATTTTTAGTAGAGACAGGGTTTCACCATGTTAGCCAGGATGGTCTCGATCTCCTGACCTCGTGATCCACCTGCCTCGGCCTCCCAAAGTGCTGGGATTACAGGCGTGAGCCACCACGCCCGGCCAAACAATATATTTCTAAATAACATATGGGTTAAATAGGAAATCTAAAAAAAAATTAAAAATACTTTAAATGAAAATAAAAATACTACTTATCAAAATTTGTAAGATGCAGTAAAAGCAGTGTTCAGAGGAAAAATCTATAGCACTAAATGCATATATTAGAAAAGATGAAAGATTTAAATCAATAAGCTTCTACCTTAAGATACCAGAAAAAGAAATTTAGGAATTCCAAGGAGTGCAGACTGTAACCTGAAAATTAACTGTATTATAAGTGTATCTATGCAAACATAAGAATTGACAGTGCACACACTTGATAAGATGTAATGAAAATGACACCTTACCTCTGGGAGCTTTCTGCCAATCCATAACCCCAGTCTAATAATGAGAAAACCATCACACAGGCTCTGAGAGAGCGTAATTCTACAAAATGCTTGACGCCTCAAAGTAGTCTAAAAGTTATCAAAAACAAGGTAATTCTGATAAATTATCACAGCCAAGGGAAGCCTAAGTAGACATCACAAGTAAATGCAGTATGATATTCTGGTAGGCACCCTGGTATAGAAAAATACATTAGGTAAAAACTAAGGAAATCAAAATGAACTGTGAACTTTAGTTATGAAAAGTGTATTGAATTTGGTCTATTAATTTTAAGAAATGTATTATGTTAATGTATGATGTTAATAATAGAAAAAAAAAAAAAACTAGAGAAGAAAGTACCTAAGAACTCTGTACTGTCTTTTCCATTTTTCTGTAAACCTAAAACTGTTCTAAAAAAAAGTATCTTTAAAAAAAGTGGTTTTTCTATATATCTTCAATAAACTCATAGAAGACAAACACTTGAATATAGCATTTACAACGGCTCATCTCCCCATTAAAAAGGAAGAAAAGTATATGTAGAAATAAATACATTAAAAGGTTTATAAGACCTCTCCACTAAAACCTGCAAATATTTCTGAGAAAATTAAAGACTTAAATAAAAGGAAAGATATAACATACTCATACACAGGGAAAGGCATAAAGATGTCAGTTCTCTCCAAGCTAATTTTTAGATTCAGCACAAACCTAGCCAAAATTCAACCAGTTTTAAAAGAATGTTTAATTGTGAAAATTGACAAGCTGATTCTGAAAAAAGTCAAGATAATGAACAGAAGACTTACCTCTGTTCCAGATGTAAAGCTAAAGTAATACGACGTGATATTGATTTAAGGATAAGAATATACAATAAAATAGTGATTCAGAAAAAGACACACAAATACAGTCATCTGATATATATATATATATAAATATGCAAATAAAACAGTGCATAAGATTAGAGAAATATGATCTTTCCAACAAAAGATGCTGTGTCAATTGGATATCCATGTGGAAAAATTATATATTGTATATTGACCCCTACCTAAGACTGGAGACAAAAACCTATTTCAAATGCATTGAAGATTTAAATGTGAAAGATAAAATACAGCAAAACACAGCTTTTTTTTTTTTTTTTTTCTGAGACAGGCTCTCATTCTGTCACCCAGTCTGGAGTGCAGTGGTGCAAACTCAGCTCACTGCAACCTCTGCCTCCTGGGCTTATGTGATTCTCCCACCTCAGGTTCCTGAGTAGCTGAGACTATAGATATGTACCACTATGCTTGTCTAATTTTTTTTTTTTCTTTTTTTGAGACGGAGTTTTGCTTTTGTTGCCCAGGCTGGAGTGCAATGGCGAGATCTTGGTTCACCGCAACTTCTGTCTCCCAGGTTCAAGCGATTCTCTTGCCTCAGCCTCCCGAGTAGTTGGGATTACAGGCATGCACCACCACCCCGGCTAATTTTGTATTTTTAGTAGAGATGGGGTTTCTCCATGTTGGTTATGCTGGTCTTGAACTCCCCACCTCAAGGTGATCCATCTGCCTCGGCCTTCCAAAGTACTGGGATTACAGGCGTGAGCCAACGTGCCCAGCCCATGCTTGTCTAATTTTTAAATTTTGTGTAGAAATGAAGTCTCACCATATTGCCACAGTTGGCCTCAAACTCTAGGACTCAAGCAATCCTCCCACCTTGGTCTCCCAAAGTGCAAAATAGAGCTTTTAAAAGAAAATATTGTAGAACATCTAAATGAATTTAGTAACCATATAAAAAAGCTTTAGGAGTTCACCTACCACTACACCTGCCTTACATGTAATGATAAAGGGAGTTATTCCAGTTAAAACAAAAGAATGCTAATAACATGAAAACATGAAAGTATAAAACTCACTATAAAGGTAAGAATATAGTTAAATTTAGGATATACTAAATACTATAAAGGTGGCACATAAATTAGACTTAATCCAGTGTAAAAAATTTTTTAAGTATTAAAAATTACTATAACTTCAAAAATTTGGTCATGGAAATAATATGTAAAAGATATAAACTGTTATATCAATAGCATATGTGGAGGGGGTAGAGAAATGAAAATGTAGAGATTAGAATGGTGCTTACTAGGAGATTGAGGATGGAGGAAAAAGGAAATATAGTGATGTTGGTCAAAGGGTACAAACTTTCAGCTGAAAGGGAGCAATAAGTTCTGTAGATCTATTGTGCAACATAGTGACTATAGTTAATAATATAGTGTATATTTGAAAATTCCTAGGAGAATAGATTTTTAAGTGTGTCACCACACAGACAAAAAATAATAAATGCGTGAAGGGATATATATGTTAATTAGCTTGATTTAATTATTTCACAATATATACACATATCAAAACACCACATTGCACACCATAAATATATATATATATATGGTCAATAAAAAGAATCACAAACCAATAACCTAATCTTCCACCTTATGAAACTAGAGAAAGAAAAACAAACTGAATTCAAAAAAGCAAAGGAAGGAAACAATAAAGA